TTTTTTTTTTTTTTTTTTTGATACCGAAGTTCCAGGCTTGCGTCTGACTAGGTCCTCGAGAAAACAACTCCGGTCCCTCAGAAATTGCTTCCAGTTAAATCGCGATAACCAAGCAATGACTCCAGGTACCTAATACCCTCAACTACCGTGCACAAGGAGTCGATCCCCAAGTGATTGTTCTCTGGCCCTCCCAGCTCCAAGTTGGTCCCATCTGTCTAGTCGCAGGGTCCCACCGAAGTGATTGCTTCATGCTGGTCCTACCTATTCAGCCGCTGGTTCCAATCGAGTTTCAGCCTTCAACACTATCGCTTGTAGTCCTCTGTATTTATTGTTCCACAATTACGTTCCGGGAGGCTTTAACCCTTGACCATGGTTTTGATTTGAAATCAAAATCATCTATTTTTATAATGAATGCTTCGATTTTATATTGTAAGTTTTCTCTTAAACACCTTATACTATATTCTAAATTAATTTTCATATTATATATCCATAAACAGAAGTCATTTTAGCTTTCCTTGCTCATATTTAAGGCAATTAACAATGTTTCAATCAAGGATACATTCTCTCTCATGGGAGCGATACATTCTCTTGAGTGAGAGCGATTCATTCTCTTGAGTGGGAGTTCGATTCTCTGCGTGTAGAGTCCGTTGAATTCTCGCTATTGGCGTGATTACTCTTGGGTGCGTGTTCTGTGTTGCAGCTCCTTTTTCAGAAATTTAGGGTTTGTGGTGTGAGTATCATGGAGAAAGCATCGTCGGAGAGTATTACGGATGAGTTAGGTGAGAAATTGAAAAAAATTGAGCTTGAGGGGTCTGAGAAGGGGGTTATTGAGCTGAGTGATGATGATATTAAAATCAGTAAGGAGGAATGGAATCGGAGCTTATTGGGTAAAATAATAGGGGATCGTAAGGCCAGTCTATTGGGAATTAAAAGAACGATGAGTGCAATTTGGCAGATTAAGCAGCCAGTAGAGGTCCGAGAGCTGAAGGATAATTTTTTCCAATTCATATTTGGGAACCAAGAAGATAAAACCAAGGTGGCAGCGGGTATTCACTGGATATATGAGAATCAATATCTGGTTCTCCGAGAATGGGAAGAGGGGCTCAACTCCAAACATGAGAGATTCAAAGAATTAAATCTATGGGTGCAAGTTAATAATGTTCCTCTCAACTGGCTGAGCACTGATGTTGGGTTGAAAATAGGCAAGATGTTTAAGAAAGTCAAGAATGTTGCTGTAGTCAAGGCTGGTGGAAGCAGAGGGAGTTTCATTAGACTACTGGTGACTATCAACATTGAGGAGCCTCTGCCAAGATGTGTGAGTATGAAGCTTAACGATCACCAGACATTGATTAGTTTCCAGTATGAGAAGCTTGTTAACGTATGCTACTATTGTGGAGTCCTCGGACATTTAGATAAAGCTTGTGGGAAAAGAATAGCAGATATTGAGAAAGGGAAAGTGAAAGAGGGGCAATACGGAGACTGGATGAAAGCATGTGATGGAGGAAGTTTTTATAAGAATAGTTATTCCAGTAACTCGGCCTCAAAACAAGCCAACAATGAGTCCCTGGGGCTAGCTAGCAAGAGTGTTCAAATACAAGAAAAGGTGATGGAATCTTCCCCTGTTAATCAAGGAGGGGAGACAAGTCAAAAATCTCTGGGAATAGAGAGCTCAATATCCAAAAGCCTTGCCATGGAAATAGTGGAGAATTCAAGTCATGAGGTCCCGGTGACTTATGAGGGAGGAAACACAATCAATTGTCAGCACAAAGGTCAGGTGAATGAGACTATCCAAGAGGGGGAGATTATTAGAGTGGAAGTTGTGAACATAGAGGAGAGAGATAATGAGATGCAAATAGTGGAAGATTCAGGACCAACCCCTAAGGTTGATGGTGAGGTAGTTTACCAGACTGAAGAGGGGACATCCAAAAAGAGCAAAGGGTGGAAAAGACTGGGAGCAAGAGCCAAGTCTCATTCCCTTGGGGCAGAAAACTTGAAAGGGACCAGTGGTCAGAATAATTTGAAAAGAAGCAGAAGCAGTTCTCCAAACATAGTTGATCATGACTCTGCTATAAGATCATCAGACACTGGGGTGAAGAAATTGAAAAGTTGCAACTCGGAGGTGGTGGTATCCAGCCTAGAATGGCCCCAACCAAATAAATGAAGCTAATCTGGTGGAACTGTAGAGGTCTGGGTGGGCCCTCTACAGTCTCCCAGCTAAAGGACTCTATTAGAGTCCACCACCCACAGGTTATTTTTCTTTCTGAAACAAAAAAATCCAAAAAATTTGTTAAGACTGTCTGCACTAAACTTGGTTTTGGGGATAGGTGGAGTTTTGTGGACCCTATAGGGTTCAGTGGAGGGCTTGCTGTGTTGTGGGATAGTTCCATTAATATTATTCAGGTTCTTTGTCATTCCTTTTGTATTGAATTGGAGGTAAATGAGCATAGGGGGGATGGTTCCTTGTGGATATCTTGTGTTTATGCCAGCACGGACAGAGGGGTTAGATTGCAGCAATGGGACTTCTTAAAACAAGCTAGTATCAAATGGGGCTCAAATTGGGTGATAGGGGGTGACTGGAACTTTATTCTTTGCAACAGTGAGAAGGTGGGGGGCAGGGATAAAGGAGTGGAAGAGTTAGCTGAATTTCAAGATTTTGTAAACCATATGGGTATGATGGAAGTTGCTATGCAGGGTCACCAGTTCACTTGGAGTAACAATAGGAGGGGTGCAGAATTCATAGAGGAGAAATTGGACCGAGTTTTTGGTTCATTTGGGTGGTGCTCCCAGTTTCCTAATGCTCTTGTGGTAAATTGTTTGAAAACCTCTTCAGACCATGGGCTGCTGGTGATGTCTGATGAAGGATTTGAATCTAAAAGGAGGAGAACCAGGTTCCAGTTTGATTGTAGGTGGCTGAAAAAGGAAGGAGTGAAGGAGGTAATTGCAGAAGCCTGGACCACAGATTTTTCTGGAACTCCTATGTTTCAGATTAAAGAAAGGATCAAACAGACTAGAATTGCATTGCTGAAGTGGAGCCAAGTCTTTAAATCTGAGAATGCTGTGAAAATTGATAAACTAACAGTGGGGCTTGATGAGCTGAGAGCCCTTGGAGGAGAAAAGAACTGGGAAATGTGGGACAAAATGAAAAGGGAATTGGAAGAAGCTCAGTGTTCTGAAGAAGAATTTTGGAGGCAGAAATCAAGAAACCAATGGCTCAGAGAAGGGGACAGAAACACCAGATTTTTCCATGCCCTTACTATGCAAAGAAGAAAAACTAATGTGATTTCAAAGCTTATGGTTGATGGTGGCAGAATGTGTGAATCCAAAAAGGATATTGAGGAGGCTGTGTGCAATTTTTATTCTCAGTTATTCAAATCTGAAGGGAGTGCAGAGGAGGAGCAAATTCTTCAGTACATTCCATGCTCTGTATCTGCTGAAGTGAATCAGGAGCTGGTGGCTGAAGTAAATGAGGATGATATTAAACTTTCATTATTCAGTCTCAATCCAGGAAAAGCACCTGGGGAGGATGGCATGTCTCCCCTTTTCTTTCAGCATTTCTGGCCCATTGTAAAATCTGAGCTTTGTTCAGCCATCTCCAGTTTCTTTGAATCTAAGAGGTTATTAAAAAGCTGGAACCATACTATCATCTGTCTTATCCCTAAATGTTTAAATCCAACAACTTTGAGTGATTTCAGGCCAATAAGTTTATGTAATGTTGTCTACAAAATCATCTCCAAGTTACTAGCCTCAAGATTGAAGAATGTCTTGCATCTTTGTGTTAGTGAAAATCAGGCAGCCTACATTCAAGGAAGGCAAATGATGGACAATGTAATCATGGCTCATGAAGTAATTCACTTTTTAAGCAGGCACAGAACGGGTAAGAAGGGTTTCATGGCAATTAAGCTTGACATGATGAAGGCTTATGACAGGATTGAGTGGCATTGTATTAAGATGATCCTTTTGAAGTTTGGCTTTCATAGAACTTTTGTGGAGTGGATTATGGCATGTGTGACCACCACTGCTTTTTCTGTGAATATCAATGGGGAGATCTGTGGGTATTTCAAAGCATCTCGGGGCATTAGACAAGGAGACCCGATTTCTCCTTATATTTTTATATTGGTGTCTGATCTGTTCTCAAGACTCATTCAGAAGGAGATTAACCATGGCAATCTATCAGGCATCAGAATTGCAAGAGGGGGAGTTCAATTATCTCATTTGTTATTTGCGGATGACTCTCTAGTGTTTTGTGGTGCTGACTTGAAGTCTGTAAGGGTGGTGCTCAGGATTCTGGATCTATACCATTCCTTTACGGGTCAGAAAGTTAATTTTAGGAAGTCTTCTTTATTCTTCAGCAAGAATGTGAACATGCAGTTGCAGAATCATATATGCTATCTCCTCAATGGCATTCAAGTGCACAACTCCTCTAAGTACCTTGGATTACCACTTGGCATTGGCAGATCAAAGAGGCAGACTTTTGAATATGTGGTTGAAGCTGTGAGGAACAAGATCTCGAGCTGGCAAAACAAATTCCTTTCTTTTGCGGGAAAAGAGATACTAATGAAAGCAGTGCTCAGTGCTCTGCCGGTGTTTACTATGTCATGTTTTATCATCCCCAAATCTGTGTGTCAGAAGATTGCCAGTCTTTTTGCAAAGTTTTATTGGGCTAAAGGAGCTGGGCAGGAGACTGGGATTCATTGGAAGGCTTGGCACTTGCTAACACTGCCTAAGGAATGGGGTGGTCTTGGGTTTCATGATTTGAATCTATTTAATGAGGCATTAATTCTTAAGCAAGTGTGGAGAATAGCTACTATGCCTAATCTGTTGGTAAGTAAATTCTTGAAGAGCAAGTACTTTCCTGATGGCAGCATTATTAATGCCCAGAGAACACAAAGTTCCTCTTGGCTGTGGTGCACTTGGACTACAGTGAAGAATAAGCATCTGCATTGTTTTAAGAGGATTGTGGGAGATGGCCTTTCAACCAGAATTTGGAAGGATCCTTGGTTGCTTTCTTCTCCATCAGGTATTCCTATCCTCAAATCAAATGTTAGCACTGATGTGGTGTATGTCTGGGAACTGATGGATAATAATGGATGGGGGTGGAACACTGATCTGCTGCAGAGGCTATTTTATGAGAAAGACTATAGGGCCATACTGAAAATCAAATCTATAAACCCCACTAGACCAGATAGATGGGCTTGGGACAGTGATGCAAAAGGAGACTATCAAGTGGCAAAGGCTTACTCTAAGTTTGTGGAAAGCAAGTTCAGAACCCTTGACATTCCAGAGGGTAGTGGCTCCATTAAAAGCAGGAAGACTAGATTGAGAAGTTGGAGACTGAATATTAAAAGCAAAATCAAACACTTTGTGTGGAGAAGCTGTACAAATACCTTACCTGTTAGTCTGAACCTGAAGAGAAGGGGGATGGAGGTGGACTGGATCTGCCATAGATGTGGGGAAGAAGCTGAATCGGCAGAACACTTATTCTTTAATTGTGAAATAGCAAAGCAGGTATGGAAATTGGCTCCAATCACCTGGGACTTCAGTTCTGAAACCACAACCAGTTTCAAAGTATGGTGGGAAAATGTATGCTCGACAAATAACAAGGATATCTCAGAAGATCGAATACAGTTAACCACCTATATATTATGGTGGTTGTGGAAGGCCAGGAATTTATGGGTGTTTCGAAAGGAGTGGATGCCGGCTCATATTATAGTTAGTTCTGCGTTGGCTGATTGGAAGGAATTTTTGGCTAAGAGCAGGTGTTGATCAATGATGGAGAGTGGGAGGGAATCTAGGTGCTTTGGCTTCAGTGGATACTCTTCTCTGCATTATGGATCAGGTGGCCGCTCTGTTTTGTTGT